ATTGCAATAAAACGGCAATTTCATACTTTAACCCCTAATATTAATATCTTGCATTTGTAATGTAAGGTAAAAAATAAAGGTTCTCAAGTGGGGAGCATGATCATGAAGAAGTATGAAATATGAACAATTCTTTAATAGGATATTCCCTGCTTTTGAGATACTGGAACCTGGTGCCAGATGGGCAAAAACTGTCGACAGCCTTGTGATAATAAGGTTGTGATAATAATAAACTTGTGAAAGTAAAGTCGATAAGAATTTAGAGCTGTATTACGATTACCATATTCACAACTTCAGTATGCAGGACAAATGTAAATAATGTATTCTAATAAAATATGTTATTGTTATGACTTAACAAATATTTATACTATATTCTAGTTATATAATTACAATGTATGTAGTTATTAAAAATGTAAAAGTTGACTTTTATTTAAATACTGAACCAACATAAAGAATCCTAAAAGAATATGCAATTGTCTTTTTAGTCTTGGACTGTGTTTCTGAATTACCAGTTATGTTCGAATTGTAATTTTTAATTTAAAAATATTTGAGATATTTATTTATTCATTATAAAGATATTTTTACACTTCCTTAAAAAAGAACAATGAGAACATATTTCTATATTATATAAAATGTCATTACCTATACAGTATAGTTACTAGTTACATAGTTATAATTTAATGCTCATTAATCGACTTCATGTGTGTCTATCGGCATGGACCTATAATTGGATCTCCATTATTATTTCAGTTTTTGCTTTGTAAGATAACCATTGGTCTTCCAATGAAAATGAAAAATTAAATATTGTTAGAGCAGAGACTGTAGGTTCTGCTATGAAACAAAAGAAACTCCTCTGTACCTCCTTTCCCAATGCTACACCTAATGGCCCTTTCAAGTGACGATCCCGTTCTGTAAGAACAAGTTTTTTATGTTCCTGCAAATATGGCTGGCGTGTTCACACGTGGTACTTAATTTGCATAGGTACTGACTGTATTTTACGAAATAGAGTGAGCAGATACAAGTGCCATAACAGCATCCAGCAAAAAAAATAGTGAAATGATTATGTGACACATATAGTGAAATATATGTATCACATAATATTATTTCACGTAGAAAAATTCGTGAGGTCCGCTGTAGCTTAGTTGGCATAGTGTCTGGCACACCACACGCAAAATAGGCGCTTTGTCGTCGAGTTGCGGATACCAGCCCAAGCACCAAGTACCAAGTAGTGTCTGGCACGGTTTGCAAGAAGATGTTTGTTTGAAGGATTTTTTTCTAAGTGTTCGATTTTCTGATTATAAATAATTATAACAAAATTGTGGAGTAATTTGACAAAAAATAATTGAATATCATGGTGGTGAACACAGACATATATCCATGTCTGTGATTGTGAAACATCCTGAAATTCACTAAAGAACTTAATTTCAATTTATTATTTTGATTGAAATATGAAACATGGTCTCGTTTGGTCATGTTTCACAGCTGGTTCCAAAGTGCAGTGACAAAACCAGACAAAACTCAATTGCAGTGAGTGAATCAGTTTTTTACAGGATCCTGTAAACGTGGTGCTAGTTAATATTACTAGTGAAAATTGTTTAGTAATAAACAGAATCCTGCAAAGAACAGAATGCTGCTATGGCCATAAGCCATTAATGGGCATACAATTTAGTTGCAGTAGCTCCTTGTGAAAGAGTTCGTTACCTATTTCTGCTGCCAAGTAGTAATATGAGCGTTGCTGTGTTTCGGTTTTGAAGGGTAAGGGTGCTGGTGAAATTACAGGCATGTGGGACTTGTCAACCTATGTCTCAGGGGTAGGGTCTTAAAGCGCCAGGTGCTATTGTTCTCGCATAAAGAATTTTCTCGCGCTTTATGTTGCTAGCTCTACAATTCTTTAGTACTGTGAGCCTTAGCTTTGAATTGTAAATAATCCACTTCGTATAAAATTTGTACAAGTCTATAATTGTTACTTAGCAGTGGCTATATGTGTTCATACTATGTTTGCCATTGGTTTACCTAAGAAGTTCCTGTTACTACTTATTCATTGTCTACTACAAGTTGAGTGATATTACAATTGCTACGCTTCTTCTACATCGAGTTACCTTCTATAACAAGTAATGTTATATTGGGCAGGGAAGGAGCGTAGATTCTGCCACATGGCAGATGAAATTCCTGTGCTACCCCTTGAGACGGCATACGAAGTTCCATGTTATGAAGGCACAGGCCACAACCAGAGGACTTATAAACAGTCAGAGCCTGAAAAGTCCTTCAGTTCATTAATGCTGTTGCCCTTGCCTCGGAAACGTAATTAGTGGTGATCACAATACACCAGTAAAGGCCGCAGTTATGAAGGATCGCATCGGCCCTGAATGAAGTCACCTTAATAATAATATAATACCTCCTTTAAATGTCACTTTTATATGTTTTAAACTTATTTTATATATTAATTTTGTGATAAAATAAGACATTCTTTTAAATTTCAGGCATATCATACATGACAGAGACAACAGAGTCCAGGCTGCGAGACAACCTGACAGAGCGACAGAAACAGCACTCCAATGAAGCTGCGATCATCACTATCCCTGATGAAAACAAACAGCAAATTGAGAATATATGGCAAGTATATTTTCAATATTTTCAATTTTTTCAATTTCGTTTTTCTTTATATCGGGGACCAGCCTAAGCGGGAGGAAGGTTCTCGCGTTCAACACGCACCGACTGGTAATTTTGCAATTCAGGACAAAGTGCTTCAAATCTTACCGAATAATCTTCTGTGCTATATAAGCGGGGGATGTGCCATGTTAAAAAAAATATCGATATCGTTCATCAAAGTGTTTTTATCAGTAACCATCACTCATCAATCAGTGATGATTTTTAAAAATGGTTCCAGTTGAAATTCCCCACAATTTGGAGAGTTCCCCACAAATTGGCAACACTTATGATAAAACGGAACCCACAAAGCCGCTTTTACGAATTTGTTCAATGAGCAACAAAATATATTCACGGAACTAGTAGTATCATTTACGTTACGCAACGGTCGGATAATGGTTCTTTTAACAAGTTCGTGCGCGCTCGCGATAACGCGAACAGAGGCTGTCACACACAACACTACCAACTACAACTTTGTACTTGGTGCAACGGGCTGGTGTCCGCAACTCAACGATAAAGCCAAAGCGCCTATTTTGCTTGTGTTGGGTGCAGGGTCCTACTCGAGCACTGTAGTAGGATGTGCGCAGGCGTTTCCTTCTCCTTTATACTCGCTTTGCATAGGGAGCTGTCTGTGATACCTAAATTAAAAAGATGTTTATAGTATGGACTACGACCCGTTAGGGCGGCAGTTAGAGTACGAAGCTCTTGCCTTTTAAGTATGATTTTTTTTACCAACTACAACACCGTTCGGTTACTCAGCCTCGCAATAGCATTAACACATACTTTACCAAACTTCAATTCCTTGTGACTTCCAATTTGTTGTAATCCACCATGCCGAGCACAAACAAAGTAGTAAACATTAAGGAGAACGGATATTTTTTGTAATGTCATTAAAATATATATATAACCGTCATTGTGAATAAAAACCGCCGAAGTATTTTAATAACCGGCAATCTGTCTCACTACCGCTACACATGTCTCTCAACCCTGACATTGGCAAAATCGTCGCGCAAAACGACACGGAGCCATAGACAAAAAAGTTGAAGTTGAAGTTGATACACCATACAGTTCAAGATAAAGAAAACGTATTAACTTGTTCTGCATCCGCTTTAACATCAATTTATACTTTTTTTTTTGTGGGCTCCATGCATTGTATTCCAAGTGGCTTTTTACTAGCGCTGCATATATTTAGGTGATTGTAATAAAGAGTATTTCAATAGATTTATATGGTTTTTAAAACTTAAGGTTTATATTATTTCCAGTAAAAAAGTTCGCCAGTTCCTAGATGACAGCGAACAGACAGAGTTGGAGATCGATCGCTGCAACGCTTTCGTACGAAGACTGCTTTTCCAGGAACTCGGCTCACGTTTTAAGAAAGAAGCCTATGTTGAGACAAAGATATTGGACAATAAGGATAGGTAAGTGCTTAAATTGCATTAATTTGTTTATCATCAAAATCGTTGCAAAATTAATTTCGTTAAAAAAGAAAATATCTTGACAGCCCCTTAAAGGACGTTCAGATGGCACAGAAGTACCGATAATCGCCAAATATTGTAGACTTATTGTACTCGGATGTTGCCACACTGCTTTTCTTGCAGGCAACATAAAATAGGGGATCAGAAAGAGACTGTTTTGTTTAAATTATCAATACGATCCTAGACGATTAAAAATCGCATTGAAATGAATCGATACAAAAAATCGCTCGATCGCATGCACTTGAATCGATTTTCATAAAAATCAATCGAATCGTAATGTGCATCCCTAGTCTAAGTTATAATCACTTCACATAATACATTTTGATGTATACGGCGATTTAGGAGGATAAAACGTAGTGTGAAAAATTATTTACTAAAAGTTTTAAAACCAGTCGTTGGTACGTATGATTATGTTCACACATTGATTATGTACACTGTGACATATTCAATGTGTGAACATATATATTTTTTTAATAACGTACACACTCAACATAGCTCCGCACTAGGGAAACCCTGTGTCGCATGTGCCAGGACACACACATAGACAACCACAAATTACACCCAAACTCAAGAAAGAAATAAATGTAGACCATACAAATATATCTCCTGGCTCGGGATTCGAGCCTGGGACTTCTGCGTGGCAGTCCGGCATGGTAATTGTTCGTCCACGCAGGCAGTTAAATTTTATTAAATTTTACATTTTCTTACAGGGTGCTAAAGGTATCGAAATTGACGTCAGATAACGACGTCAAGAACCGTGATGCGCAAAAGAAAGAGAAGGAATGGGAGGACTTTGAGGACGCCGTTGGATTCTCTAAGGTTGCAAGGATGATCAGTCAGTCAGTAAGTTGCTATCTATTAATTTTTTTACTGACTTTAAAAAAGGAAGAGGTTCTCAATTACATTGGTTTTTTTTGTATGTATGTTACCTGATTACTCCGGATTATTTGTCAACCTATTTTGTGGATTCTTTTTTTTATTGGAAAGTGGGTACCTTAGTAGCGGTCCCATTTAAATTTGAAGAGAACATTACACCTCTAAGGGTGGCGAACTAGGGGATCCGGTTTCACATACTTTCTGGTAACTGATGTCAATAAAACTTGGTAAATACATGTAATTCCACGAATTTTTTATAAATAATAGTTTTTTACTTGTCCTGAAAACCAGTCAAATATCTTTTTCGTCAAATGGCATTTAAATCGATATGTCTTTGTTGAAAATTTGAATTTGTTAAAGTGGGGAATACATTTTTGTATTATAGCCCTTTGAGAAAAAATTTGCTAGATGGATCAAATTGTGTCCGGAAGTATATTGTGGTTCATTAGACCAAGGTCAACGGTTACTTTGCAGACGTCTCTGTTAATCCATTGAGCAAATTTTGAAGAGTGTAAACACAGGGATCCGAGAACTACAAATCTTATATTGTCTTTTTAAGTGTTAAATTCAAACTGTAATCGGCAGATGAATCTGCGAAGATGGAAAATTGCAGACTGAGGATAGAACCAACAATGAAATTATAGTAGTTGTCAAACAAATAAAATAAATAAACAAAAAACAAAGGAAGTGCCTATATATTTTTTTACGTTAGAGTTTATTATTATTTAAGTTAGATTTATTTTTGTCCACAATCATATACCTGATGGAAAATTAGGATAAGGACTTAAATAGTACACGCCCCTAGATGCCTGTTCGTTTCGTATTAAAAAAGGTCTAGTTATAATATTCTTATAATTTCTAGGAAAAGCTAGTAGTGGGGCACAACATGTTATTGGACGTCCTGCACACGTTGAATCACTTCTTCCATCCACTGCCTGCCGATTACGCCAGCTTCAAAGAATTTGCGCATTGCATGTTCCCTAGGTATGATACAACGAGTCTATTATAATTATTAATACAAAGATCGAACACTCAGAAAAAACACTCAGAAAAAATTCCTTCGATCGGGTCGGATTCGAACCGACGTCTTCTTGCATACCGTGCCAGACGCTATACCAACTAAGCCACGGAACGAACCAACGGACCTCACGAATTTTTCTATGTGCTTGCGTCGCGTCTTTGTACTTGGTCTTTCAACGACTTTTTAGTCGTAGCGCCATCTATGAGAAATCTATTACAGATTTATCACCCAGTTAGTACCTTTACAGCTACCAGTCCTGGCGAGAGATGTCGCTATTCACTGTATTAATTAAATTTTTATTGAATTGTTATTCAATTATTTTCTGCGAAATCACTCCACTAGTTTGTTATAATTATTAATACAAAGATCGAACACTCAGAAAAAACACTCAGAAAAATTCCTTCGATCCGGTCGGATTTGAACCGACGTCTTCTTGCATACCTCTATGTCTATTATACCTTGATCGCTATGCGTTATTATTTAGGCTCTGTGGAAAAGGAAGAGAACTCAGCCAATCACATTAGTCATGACCATTCCTTTCCGCGCTCCGCAAGCGATTGGTTATTAGTAACATTCTTTGGGTTCCGTTGGTTGTTGTTGTGGTGATGAGCTATGTTGTGGGATTTTTAATTATACAGTAATACCCCGCTTTACGAGAGGGATATGTTCCGGACAAAATCGCGTCAAGCGAAATTCGCGTAAAACGAGGTTGTTCTTTTGTTTGTGGGGCGTTATAGTTTTTTTGATCGCCATAGGGTCTCAAATTTGACCTAACGCCTGCTACCAGGGATAGAACGGGGTATGATCGAATAAAAAGCTAAATATTGTAACGAACGTGCTATTTGAACGAACCAGTCTTTTCTAAAATGTTTATCTTCATCTCGAAACTTTAGCATAAAGCTCTTCTTTCTTAGCCGGTGGCGTCATTGTTCGTAAAGATTATCTTTTACAATTCAGTGGATAACAGACAGTGCCAACGTGATCACAAATTAAAGGTCCTACCAAGAAAGAACTGCCTGAGACAATGTACGTTTAGTAACTGAGAAGCGGGTAAGAGAGACGGGTTCAAATTGGCTAAAACAATCAAATCAAATGCATCCGCGTAAATCGGGGTCATTTAGCGCGAATTTTGAAAATCGTGTTGTAACCAAATCGCGCAATGCGGGGTATTAATGTAGTCTTTTTTTTCTCTAATGAATGGCTTGTGAGTCTACTTAGTCTCAATTCTGCCAGTGTCTGTTTTCTAGTTTCATAAACGTTATGGCGGGTGTGTTAGAATTTTGTACGGTAACTCAGAGGCAGAATCGAAGATATTTTTGCACAAATTGAATTCTAGAGTTAATGTAGTCTGTCTTTTTTGAAGATGGAGTAAAATGACAGTTCATTGCGCAAAAGTGTTGCCCGGTTGCGAGCAGCTAGTGATTGCAGTCGATAAATATTCTATCGACTATAGACTTCCTGAGCACAAGTTCACTTGACTTGTAAATTTTTGTAAGGTTATACTTACATGCACTGTATTAGATAGATAGTACTATGTTTATGAAAAATACAAAGGGGAGACATACTTTTTCATTTTAATTCAATATAGATAATGAAATCCGGCTATTTTTGTTAAAATGTATATGTATAAAGATTGACCTCGATGCTAGTAGGCTACCTGAAAATAAGAATAAAAAAGGCAGTAACGCAATTAGTAGTCATTAGCGTAGCATTCACAATTCAGTCATTGTAGGCAAAATTTTATCTTCTTTTACAACCTATCGATAAAACTATCGACAACAACTACGTAACTATTTAAAATTTTATTAAAACTGGCAAGCTTACAAATGTCATTTTACTCCGTCATCAAAAAAGACAAATTATAGATAAGGAGATAACAAACTGGCAGCCACTAGTGTTATTTTGAATAATGTTTATTATATAGTGATGTTTTTACTTGCGAGTAGCAGTTTAAATGCGAATCAGTGTTAACTAGCACATGGAACCATTTTAACGATTCAATTCGGGAGCCTATATTGAACTATTTCGATTGTAAGAACTAAGTAACGTTTTAACTGGCACGTGATTATGTGAAAATATAAATGAAATAAGTAGATAAATGCTTAAATTGAATTTCATATTATTTGATAAAATATCAAAACGTCTCATGTAGGTCAGCAATGTATAACTTTCTTTGATTTTAAACCACTATTATTGACATTACAGTTAATCAACATTAAATTCTTAAATTTCTATCCGAAGGCCGCCTGTTGTACGTACATTGACTTGCTCTATGATACTTACATTACTGTTCTGTGTTGACATTGTAATTTTAATGTTCAATAAAGAATATTTCATTCATCCATTCATTCAACATTGGCTCAACTAATATCAAATAAAACTCCTCATGGTATGAAAGTGAATTACGATATAGATTTTGAACGAGTTTGCAAATCAATTCAGGTTTTGATTTGGCATATAAAGAAAAATAGAAAAATCTCTTACATTGGACAAACAAAGCGAAGTATTTGTACCCATGTCAAAGAACATATAGCTGATGTCAAACACCGTCGCGTAAACAAGTCTGCAGTCTGCGAGCATGTCATGGATAAACCTACACATTCAATGAAGTTTGACAAACCCCAGGTCCTTGCAAAAGAAGTCCGTTATCTACCCAGGATGCTGCGAGAGGCCATTGAAATTAAAAAACATCCTAATTTCAACAGGGAAGATGGTTTCTCCGTACCACCAGTTTGGGATCCAGTTTTTCCTCTAATGAAAAATCCCAAACAGGCATAAGACTGCAGTACTAATTAATATGTTTTTACTTTATTCTAATTTCTATTTATAATTAATAATAAATTAAACTTAATAAAAATTCATTCAATAAAATAATTTGTAAAACTTAATGTAGCGTAAATTAGAATGTTTTCTTTGTAAAATTAAAAATAAGGTATTTAATTAATAACTATAGTGAAAAAATAGGGTGGTTTGCATTAATATTAGACATAACTGGTTGAAGACTGTACCACCTCAGTCAACTGTGACCATGGGACCTGTAAAGGGCCCGAAACGTCGGTTTGTTTGAAAAAACAAATATACGCGATTTAAGTCCGGAAAAATAGTTAACTAAAAATAGAAAAAGTTTATTTTAGAACAATCTGTCAAAAACATGGAAAAAACCTTTAGGTGCCATTGCCGCAAAACTATGATCATGTTGGTTGACACGTTATGACTTATCAGCATTCATTTAGCATTATATATTTTACATGACCATAGGGTGCGCAGAAAAATACGTTTTTCATACAAATTAGAGAGTATGCTTTGGCCTGTAGCACTTATGGCATGAGTTAACTGTCGTTCACGACTTTTTCGTCGTTACGACGACAGACTGTCCAGATAATGGGAAAACCTAGAAGGACAGTCGTCTGACGATAAATAAAACGTCACGATAAAAATGTGACAACAGATAATCGCAGCTACTATTGTCACGTTTTATTTAACGTTGTCTGCACATGCACCGATAAATTGTCGTCACGTTCTAATGGGTACATCTACACACGACAGTCGTTCAACGATAAAATAGACATCCACGACACAGTCACAACTGATAGTCGTGATATGGGAACAGGCTAGACGCGACAATCATCCAACGCGCCCTTACTCTATAGGTATATCTAATCATTATCATCGTCATAATTTTTTCTTTCAGACTTCTAGATACCAAGTACATGTCAAGTCTGCCGCCGTTCAAGGATAAAGTGAACTCTAGTGTCCTGCACCACTTATTGTCTACGTTATCGGAACCACCATTCTCACTTCCTAAAGCCGGTACTGACTTATTTTTGGTGTATGTGTACTGTATACTTCGTTTGAATTTTTTTTTTGATGGCCAAGTGACACAGACCTTCGGGCCAACTACATTAGTGTGTAATGCTATGAATTAGTTAGTAATACTGACGAAACTCACTGATAAGTGTTTAAAAAAAATTCTTCTTCAATGTTTTGGCCCCATCGAAGTAATCGATGATTTCGCCAATGTCCAGTTGAGGAACGCACGCGTTTTAACTTAAAAATTTACCGGTGAATTTCGACAGAATTCACTGATAGGAGAATTGACAAATCTACAACATATCTTCCTAATTTGTGACTACAACGACAGAGAACCTACACAGACTATTACAGAAACAAATTGTTTATTTATCAAGGGAATAATGTGTCAATGTCAAAAGCTAAAGCTCAAATAGCTAATTGTCAAAAGCCAACAAATAGAGTAGTGGAAAGGTGGTCTTTTGACCTTTTTGGCCCTAATCCACGTACATTTTTACAGTAAATATATTACTCGTATATAGAATTCAAATTGGCTTCATATTTTTTATGCATTATTAAAATAATTATACAAGGGCCTACCAAATTACTCAATTGTTGTTAACGGCAATAAAAAAAAACTTTTTTATTGATAATTGAAATAAATAGACAAACAATTTGGTACTTTTTAACCGGCTTCAAAAAAAAGGAGGATGTTCTCAGTTCGACTCTATTCTTGTTTTCGACCATTGTGAACCGATTTTGATGATTCTTTTTTTTTGTTGGAAAGAGGTTACCTCGGTATTGGTTCCATTTAAATTTGAAGAAAATACTCCATCTCTAAGGGTGCCTAACTAGAGGATGAGTCAGTTTTCGCGCACTTTCCCGTATCTGATTTCAATAAAACTTAGCAAATTGATGTAATTCCACGAACTTTTGAGGTCGGTTTTTTTCAATTTCAATCAACTTGTTATTGAATATCGTCAGAAAAATGTTGTTGAAATTATCCCGTATGCAGCCCGATATAACTGTTACGTGAAATGTCAGTCCTCCCGCACCGCGCAGCTACCTCAGGAACCGACTTAGTTAAGCGGTTTGCCTGTAGGTGAATTATTGCCAAAAGTACGTTTCCCATCAGGGTCCCTAGAAGGCCGTGGTTACTGCCAGTCGGACGAGAAACTTCACGAGGCAGGCTACGACGCGTACGTGACGGGCCTGTGCTTCCTCGCGATGCACGCGCACCTATCGCGCATGCGCGGTGACGTCATCGGGCGCGTATGCAACTCCGCGGTCGCACTAAAGCCCTTCGTCAACAAGATCTACTTATCCAAGACCGCCCATCAAGACTCGCCCTACATGAACTTCTCGGGTGCTGACCGTGAGTACTTGAACTTGATTCTCGTGTTTTCGCCAATACCACGTTTGTAAACTTTAGCATTTATTTAGTTATTTTAATACTTTATTGTACAGGACAATCAATAATTACACTTAAAAAAAAGGAAAATACAAACAAAATGTTCTGCTTTTTTCTAAAAGAAATTTCTTCCAGCAGACCTAAATACAGGACACAATAATTAAAATAACCGCTTATTCCCAGTCGTCCCCACCGGCTTTGTTCCCACTGGCGACAAATGAATGTAAAATATCCCAATTAATTGTTGGTTTATTGCTGCAATTGAAAGGGAATAAAAATAGGATTCGAGTTTAATGATAAAAATACAGATCTTACTAAATATCATTAAAAAAATCATAAATGTTTCCAATACCGTACAATAATTAAAAAACACCGTAATAATGACATCATATACAGTTAATTAATGATATCATATTCAGATAGCCACTGTCTGTCTGTCTAGTCTGTATTTTTATCATTAAACTCGAATTTTATTTTATTCCCATTGAAAAATGGCGGTAATAACCAAACATTAATTTGGATTTTTTATCCCATTTGTTACCACTGGCAACTGCTGTGATATTTTAAATTCCATTTGTCGCCAGTGGTAACAACAGATCTTTTTATGCCATTTGTCACCACCTGGTAACATATGGGTTTTTTTCCCATTTGTCGCCAGTGGAAATCATGACTGGTAACAACTGAGACTTTTTTATCCTGTTTGTCACTACCGGGTAACATACGGGTGTGGGAACAAAGCCAGTGATGACGACTGGGAATAAGCGAAAATAACGGGGTTACATTGCACAATCAAACAATAATTTTGTAAATCAAAAACAATATCATTAAATTATTATAAATGTGAATTATTAGATATTTCATTATACGAGTACATATAATATCCAATGATACTAGTATTATACTTAATTGATAATACCTATCAAATGGATGGATGGAATGGATCTTTAACTCTTATTTATTTAGTTTACCTTTTTTCTGTTTGTTATTTTGTTACTTTACCTTACAAACATATACATACTCATGACTTTGGATTCTCATTGATGAGGCAGAGACTGTTGATCGCCACTTTGCATGACATACCGCTCTTACGTCTCTTGTATTCATCAATCTTTTCGTACATTCTCTCCTATTCTCACTACGTCCTCCAAGCCTTTTAAAGAACATTCCCGCTTTGGTTTCCAGACAGATACACGGACAAAAGCTTTATATTTATAATCTGTTTACGTCTTGGTTTAAAAAAACAACGTCTGGCTGAATTAACCCTGACCACACAGATGGCCTCAGTGCTCGAGGGGCTTGCAGATCGGTTTTCATGGTGTCATCATCTCTGAGGTCCCAGATTCGATCCCCGGCCGGGTTAATGTAGATACTAAGAGTTTTCTTACCTTAAGCACCCGTGCACACTAGACGAAATTCGTGTCGTGTGCACACAGCGCCAAGCAGTAATGTAAGCATTACTGTGTTCCGGTTTAGAAGGGTAGAGGTGCTGGTGAAATTACAGGCACATGGGGCTTTTCAACTTATGTCTCAGGTTGACAGACGTTGTGGCAGTGACACTCCGATCTTTGCGGTTTAAAACTCTTTAGTGGCACTGCTACTGTTACAAAAACAGGCGTGTTGCTTACAAGCAGGCGCACGACTTGTTCGTTACGTCGCTTTTTTATATTATTTTATTATTTAATATGACGATTTCAAGTGTATTTGCTTACTTGTAATAATAAAGATGAGTTGAATTTGAATTTGAAATTAGTATTAAGAAAACTAACTTTTCTATATTGTCTCTGGTGTTTGTGGTACCGATTTCCTTAACACAAGTGCTTTAGTTGCATATGAATGAAAACATTTTATTGTACAACAAAACAATTTTTTAATAAGGAAATAAAACATTATTGTACATAGGCGAACTTGTCCCATAAACGGATTTCTTCCAGCTAACCATTGAATAATTGAAAGGAAAGTTGCCTCCTGAGTCGGCAATAAAATCTAAATAAAATCATTATTTTAATCCTACATACTAAATAATTACAAGAATAAATTTATTATGTCAAATGTACACACGAATACATAATATTAAGTAAATGGTGATTTACTAATTCGTATAAAATACTTTGGGATCAGAGCAACGTATGTCATGTTAATAGATTCAGGCGTTACTTTGCGGAAGTCCATGTTAATAAAAATGGAAGTAAATTAATTTGCTACTCCGTGAACCCATATATATATGATGTTGTCTAATATTTAATATTTATAACACTAAATTTGAATTGTAAATAAAAAGCAAAATATGATTATTGTAATAATTTCCAGCATCACCATCGCGGGAACACGTCTTCCATTTGACATTCCCGAAAGAATGGCAGCGGAATGACCTTAATCAACTGTTCAGCCCGTTTGGTAAGAGTTATTTTTATTTATTTGTTCAACAAAGTTTCTATAGCATAATTACTCATCTTTTACAAATTTGCTATAGGAAAATTACAGAAACTCACTATGTATACAAAAATAAATCGAAATGAGTACTATGAAAAACAGATATAAATTTTTACTGTAAATTATTTTATAAAATGTTGTGTATGTCCGCTTGTGTTGGTCTGCCTCCCTTTCCTCAAAGATTGTGCTATTATATACTTCGTTTTTTATCATTAGACAGAATTTGCTTTTATCAGGCGCCATTTCATTCAGACGTTTTCTAGCAGAGTAATTTAATAAAATAGTAAACAAATGGAAAATTAATCATATTTACTACCTTTCCTTACTTAATTATTACTTTTTTATATGGAGACCTCCATAGAACACTGTCAAATAGATGAATTTTTGTTTTGTTTGAAAATTCATAATATGAATTGTCAATTAATCATATTATGATTTTGCCAGTACGGCCTTTTTAGCCCTGCAGGTGTTGAAGAATATTATAAGGAATTTCACGGTCGTAAACTAAAAAAGAAAATTACTCGTGGCAGGTCCTATAACAGTCCAGTTTCTGGACGACACGTCAGCGCTGGTGGCACTGTCGCGGCGCGAGCAGGCGCGCGACGTGCAGCGTGCGCTCGCGCACAACAGCCGCATCTCCCTCGTACCGTATGCGCGGTACAAGCTGCCCGCCAAGGTCAGTCGGGTACGATGTTATGTACTTGCAACTCTTGCTGTTACTTATTGTGCTTGATGTAGGAGAATGATACTCGTGAAGACATTTTCCGTATATGTAATCATAACGAATGTTGGGTTTGGCAGAAGAAGTACGAAAGTAGAATTAAGGCGAGTTACCGGAGGAGATGCGGGAAAAACTGTTTTGCTATATCAAATGGCTGTAGATATTTACTGTTAAATAATGGTCTTATAAAAAGAAATATACGATACACCAAAGGATATTGTCTAAAGGATGTGCTAATTCGTTACACTATAGGATGTACTTTACTCGATCATATAAAATCCCGAAAATAGGCTAAAATAAAAGTATAAAACTAATTATTTAAGAATAAAGTATCAAACTTTGCATATAATATTTATGTCATGATATTTCTCTTTGGCTCTACTCACACTAGCGTAGTCGAAGCGTCGCGTCGCGTCCTGTTTTTCAACTACAACGCTTGGCGACGGGCGTCTATTCGCGACGACGCCCGCATTATGCGCCCACACTTTGGTCTTTGGCCTTTAAGTACTACAGAAAACCTGCTAAATTTTGGTTTTCAACCCTATAGTTATTAAATTTATATTTATCCCAAAACTTGAAAGTTGCCCAGCGATTTAATGACACGCCGCGCCGCCCGCTGCCCTGTCAGTTGCCATCGGGCGCTTGTCAACTTCAGATATGTGTCAAATTTTGTCCGCCTATTCTTATGTCATATTAATTTTCTGCTCGCGGATTGTGTGACTTGCGAGCCCCCGCACACCTCACCTCTTGAAATCGAGGCTCACTTTCAAATACCTCGTCTTAATGCGGTAGGAGTAAGGAATGACTCTGATGGATAAATTGCAGAACAGTGTGAAAAGAGAGCATTGCGGCTTGAAAGAACATGTAGTGACAAAAACAAATATACGCGATTTAAATCCGGAAAAATAGTTTCATTTCCTATGTGATATAGTGTATGTAAGAACTCGATATGTAGTGACAAAGATAGAGAAAGGGATGCTTAGATAGTTCGGACATGTACGAGAATGAACGAAAGAAGATTGACGAAACAGTATTATAAAGAAAGAATGAGCGGGTAAGTTGGTGAAGATGAATTTACCATGGCCAAATTAAGGACGTCCTAAAGAAAGGCCAGGTTAAGAATACCCATAACTGACGAGCATGTATGAAAACACTGCAGCCTGTTGATGAGGCGAAGGATGTGTGTCAGGATCGTAGTAAGCGGAAGGCTCTTGACTCGGCCTACCCAGATGATGGGCGTGGAGTATATGTATGTATGTAATCAGTTTATTTATAAATTGTTTAGCAATATGGAGTAGAATATGGAGCAATTTACTTGGAGCTCTCTTACACCTTCGTCTACTTTGGACGTAAACCTGTTTTTGAAGTGGTCAAATGTTAAACCCCACGTTCCTAAATTAGACTTTTCCATCATAGATAATTACATAGTACAGTGTACAGTCCGGAAAAAAAAGCTTCAAATTAACAGCTTTATGTTTACGATTTCACAAAGTAACGCAAACAAACTCATGTACAATAATATATATAATTGTCTCGTCATTCTCTATTAACTAGTCAACCTTTTCCACAGATACACAAGGAATCCGAAACCTTCAAACACATTTCACATTCTCTGCTGAACGCGTGCGTATTTTCATTTCTAACAGTCTTAATATTGATACTATTTCAGTACGTAACCAAAGAAGATCTTCACATAAGAGATTATATACTTTGCGCCATACAATCGCCCATAGGGCTGGTCATATTTGGCATTGTCGTTGTGTGTTTGTACAGTGCTTGTAACTTATTGGAGAAAGCTTTTTGTTTTGCTGGCGTATGATTGGTTCATTTTTATTCGACTCGTCCTGTTGGCTGCAAGTGTGCTCACTTGCGCCACGTAGCGGCTACAGCAACGCACCATATTATTGTTATACATTTCATAAAAAACATAGTTTTGTTGTAATACAACTCGATGGAACATTATACTATTACTTTCCTTCCGTTAAATATCGGCTGTAGTTGCAAATTTTATGTAATATCGTTTTCGTATGGCGTGAAGTACAGTTAGCACAAAAATGATAGTCCTGTATAAGTTTGATTAACGCCTGAAAACAAAAGCTCATCTCGTAGTAATTGCGTTACAGCCTTATCCCACTTGCGATTTGAGAGCGTGCTCGCAGCGAGTACGCCGCGCTGTCATGCGACAAGCCAAGCGACCGCGAGGTAGCCGCGCTGTCACATAGCTTTCAAATCGCTCGCAATTCGCCAGTGTGATAAGGTTGAATTTCGTCAACTATAGATATTTCAATACCATTGAACCTATTTGGTGCTGACTGTACCTTCGTATCTAGCCATTAGGACAAACTATGGTGAAATTGTTAAACAATATTGCTCGGAAGTGATGTAGGGTTAAAATATTACTTGGCTGTATTAATTTTCGATCTAATTATAAATTAATAGACTGTGTGGGTAAGTTATATTAATGATTACTTTCTAAACTACTTTGAGACTTGATATTATGTTTCTGATTGATTTAAAGTGGAGTTAATATATCACTCGCGTTGAGAATGAACAAATTCAAATTGACTATCGTACCTATTTCTGCCGCGACGCAGTAATGTAAGCATTACTGCGTTTCGGCTTTAAAGGGTAAGGGCGCTGGTGAAACTACAGGCCTATGGGACTTGTCAACTGTAGGTTCCTTCGTGACGGGTATAGTGCCAGTGTCCCTCCAATCATGGCTCTGCAACTGTTTTTGTAGGCTTGCTGCTTACCATTATGATGGTAACAATGGTAAATCACTTGATCTATATAATGTATTTAATTTAATACATTGATTTTGATTGAATATCATGATGATATTAATTATATTTTTTGTGAAATTACTTCACTAGTTTGTTGTTATTATAATCTCAGTACAGAGTACTAAATAAACCGACCTCAAAAGTACGTAGAATTACCAAGTTTTATTGAAATCGGTTACCGGAAAGTGCGTAAACCCGGATTCATCCCCTAGTTCGCCACTATACGGAACTTGACACAGGAGATAATAAAAATCGGTTGTCACTACTCAAAGTATGTTGAGAGAGAAAAACGCCTTGAATTGGAGAATAGCAAAAACAACCATTACAATAATTGCTCCTTATAATAAAATTTAGGCGCTCTTTATAAAAATGTATATTCATGCTTGAACAGCCATCCTTATAGGTGGATGATTTTCTTCAAAATTAAATGGGACCACTATGAAGGTACCGTCTTTCCGACAAAAAAGAATCATGAAAATCGGTTTACAAATGCCGTGATGAGTTATTGCGTAATATACATCCAAAAAAAAAACGTACAGTCGAATTGAGAACCTCCTCCTTTTTTGAAGTCAGTTAAAAATACAAACCGGAAGTGCGAAAGTGCGAAGAGTGCGAAACCGGATTCATCTCCTAGTTTGCCACCTTTAGAGGTTGAATATTTTCTGCAACTTTGAATGGGACCAATACTGAGGTACCCTCTTTCCAATAAAAAGAGAATCATCAAAATCGGTTCATATGCCTAATCTAATTAATCGCGTAACCTACATACAAAAAAAATACAGTCGAATTGAAAACCTTGTCTTTTTGTCATGCCGAAGTAACATATAGTCGGAGTAGCGTGTTAGCGAAGTTCAGTTTTAGAGTCCAGTGTAGTTCCATTGGTAGAGCGGTGGCCCTGGTTGGGCACAGTTCGAGTGGTTCGATTCATGTCAAAGGAATTTTTCTTTGTTATACATAATATTTATATCATCAAAGCATGTCATTGGTCAATTTGAATTTCGTACTGCACCAACGCAAAACAAATATGCATCAAATTATTGATTGTATTGTAACATACAATAATTACAACATCGTTTTGTTGTTTGTCTTTTTTGAAGTCGGAGTCAAATGACATTTGTAGGGTTGCCAGTATTCATAAAATTTTAAATAGTCATGTAGTTGTTGTCGATAGTTTTGTCGATATATTGTGAAAGATGATGAGTCAAAAATAACTGAATTGTTAATGTTACGACGTTCTAATTATTACTAATTGCGTAAATAAAACGAAGGCAATATTCTTTATTCTTATGTTGAGTGGTCCAACTAGCATCGAGACAAATTTTTATTCATATACATTTTAAGAATAGCCGGATTTGATTATTTATATTGAATTAAAATGAAAAGATTTGAAATGTGTCTCTCTTTTGTATTTTTCATAAACATAGTTCTAAATAATATGTATGAACTTACAAAAATTGACAATTCAAATGAACTTTTGCTCAGTAATTGGATGAATAAATAGGTCGAGGGAAATAGGAATCATTTCAAGTGAAACAAGTTCGACTATTTATTCCATAATCGAGATCTGTCTGTTTATTCCAATATTCAGTCGATAGTCGATGGAATATTTATCGACTGCAATCATTAGCTGCTCGCAAGCGGGCAACATTTTTGCGCAATGAACTGTCATTTTATTCTGTTTTCAAAAAAGACAGACTGTACATTGAAATCATATCTCTGGTATAGTTTTCTATAATTACTACATTTTTTAATGCTATTCGAATCGGAAACAGTCATGTCTGATTGCTTTTGCTCTACTGTTATGTTAGCTCTTTCCCACATCTTTAGGTATTATACAAGGGAAAGAGAAAACATGATCTAAATATAATGTAACCGAAGCGACGACAGTCGCAATCGATATTAGCTGTTATATCATAGAAAAACAAAGAACAATCACGTTAATTATAATATTAGAGAATTGGCTGGACCAAGATATCATTCTTGCGTTTAAGACTTGTAGTAGTGCCATCCTTTATATCCTTCACGTAAAAAGGTAACATTATTTTAGGCCGTTGCTTGGAAGCTTCTAGAAGCATTATTAGAGAGTGAAAATTGCGAAAGTCTTTATTCGATATTACTTTTACGCATAGCGTATTCGAATTATCTGAATCTCGTGTGTACGTGTATTTTTAAGTAATTGCCTTAGGTAGGTGACATAGTAACCAATATTGGCTCAAAACATAAACTTGTCATATAAACATACAATTAAGAATTGTAGTCTATACGAAGCAGTAAACAAGAAAAGTTTGGAAGGCTAAAATACGTTTGATAAATTTATTAAAAAAAAACACTGTAGTGTATCCGAATGTGTGGTGCATTGGTCTGCACCGCTCACACATACTCTCTCTTCTGTTTTCCTTCTCTGATCATAGAAAAACATCTCTGACACTGTGTCCTCTTTCTTAATATCGCTAGTTTGAACTAATGCTGCTTCTACAGTTCTAGCCAACATAATGGTTTGTTCCAAAGTTAAATTGAAACTGCTTTTTAATAGCTCGAACTTTACGAGTTTTGAATGGACACCATCTATTAATTTTTCTTTGATTTGGTCTTCTAAGTCTTTGAAGTTACATTTTGCTCCTAATTTCTGTAATTGTAAAACATAGTGTTCAATAGTCTCTGCTGGCAGTTGATTTCTACTGCGGAACGTGGCCCGGTCCAAAGCCGTTGATTGTAATTGCGTATACTTTTCTCTTAGTTTTTTGCACAAAACAGCATATGATAGTGTTATAGGTTTTGTAGGGGTACACAAACAATTGAGGACTTCCAGCACTTTAGGAGTTAGTTTGGTTAAAAGTAGCGGCACTTTTTTCCGATACTTCGTTTAACGTAATTATACATTCTAGTTGTTGTTCGAAACACTCCCAATTCACTCCGTCAAAAGGTTGGAGTTGGTAATTTGCCATGTTGGATGATTGATTTCGGGGATTCTTGCAATATTTGCTCAATAGCTTGCGTAATTCATCAACTTTAGTGTTTGAATCGAATTCAATGCCAAACTCTTTTAATTTCCTCTGTAATTCAGACTTATTCAACTTGTAAATCCATGATCTTTTCTGAAATTTCCAATTTTCTCCGTTTTCACTTTCAAAAAACTCGGATTCAGGCTCTGAACAATTGCTCTCCGACGACGTACGCATGAAGCATATATTTACGAACAAAACAATGAAGTTAGAATCGGACGGGCCTAAACGTCAAAATGGCGAGTTTAGGAATTCGCCTGCAATCTGCGCGTACTTCACACTGAAGCGTGCCGGCTATGCACTTTAACACTAAAATTGTTGATGAGAAACCTCGAAATAGCGTAAATTCTTATTTGTAGCGTGAATTCGTCACGGTCGTCGCCAAATTGTTGTGTCTTAATGATTAAAAGACGGCACAATTAATTAATGCGATTTATTTCTATATAATTGCACACTACACGATAGGCAAGCCGGGCGCGAGAGAGAGAGAGTATGTGTGAGCGGTGCAGACCAATGCACCACACATTCGGATACACTACAAACACAATGTTTTAATTGCATGCTTACTGTATTTTTAGATTTAGATACTGAATTTGGGTGTTCATAAAAGTTTTTAAATATTTTTGAAAATACTCCCCAGTTGGAGTCTACTCCCGTTTTCCATTCGACATCCGCCCGAAACAATTACTGTCAAATAAGTCGACAGTCACTCGAAACAGTCATTAGAAAACACTCGACCAAATCCAAAGACAATGTCAAGTATGAAGCCTCTTTCGCATCATGCGTCTTATAATTTGCCGAGTATTATTTATTTGTAATTGCTTCTGACGGATGTCAG